CCTTTGTTACATTATTTACAAAAAAAATAGTATAGTTCACTCAGTGAAAAGAAAAAATAAACAAGGACCCGTGTTTGACATTAGCCTTCAGGTCTCATGCCGAGACTGTCAGTGTACGAAGACATGGATCTGTAAAAAAATAGTATAGTTCACTCAGTGAAAAGAAAAAATAAACAAGAACCCGTGTTTGACATTAGCCTTCAGGTCTCATGCCGAGACTGTCAGTGTACGAAGACAAGGATCTGTAAAACGTAGACAAGCACTACAATAATTGGAGTTTCCAATGAGGAGAAATGTAACAGCATAAGGACTGCACACACTTTGCAATAAACGCTTGGTCAGAACACCAGATCAATCATTATATTTACATTCTTTGTTAAAATATTTAACTTTAGGTGTTGTAGAAACAGCAAAAAGTATGTCATACAAGTTAAATATAGAAGCGTAACTTTAGAACTAAGGAAGTAACTTATACATAAGGTGATGGATAATTGCAAAAAAAAAGTATGCTAGGCAGCTAAGGTACGATACTATTGATTAATCGAAGATCCTTCGAACCATGCTAACTTTGTCCTTAGTACCACCATCCGTTTATAGTAGCACCATCTACCTTTGAAAAACGTATGTAAGAGAAAACTGTAAGGTTGATAAGATTAAAATGAAATTATATTCAATTATTGATTTTAAGACTGTTACTATAAAGTTAATGTCATGTCTACACGCTCATCATACCAACGCGCTCTATGGTTCCACTTCGTGGATGTCATCACCCTCAGGTGTCTATTACATAACACTTATATAACCCTCAGATGTCCGGATATTATCTAATAGTTATGTAACCCTTGGGCGTATATATTATGTAATAGTTGTGTAACATTCAGGTGTCGGGATATTCTGTAACAGTTGTGTAACATTTAGGTGTCGGGATATTCTGTAATAGTTACGTAATCTGCAGATGTCGGCATACTTTGATTTTAACCCACTTGGCGACCCCCCTACCGCTGATGCGGCATCCTTTGGATGCCTAAGTACGGCCCTAACTTCTTACAGTCCATTAAAGTTCTCATTGAACCCATGATTCACATTCGTGAGATGATCAATAACAAATGTCAGTGAGTATCGTTTTTGCTAAATTGATGTCATATGATGAAGGCACTACTGCTCATGTTCATTCCACCAGAGTTGAAAAAAAGTTGCTCACTCATATACTTGGACTCACTGCACAAAACAATGGAAGCAAGTGATCCTTATTTTTGACAAGGATACTGGAAGAGCAGCAGAAGTGGTTCGATGTGAGATCTTCAGCTATTCAAAAGGAAAATTTAATGGACCATCTTCTCGGATTGTCAGAAAAGATCTGTACTGTATGTACCACTTGCTTTGGTACTGATGAGACTAAAAGGACCAGAGATAATAGAACAAACAAACAGTTCAAGTGTTGCTGCTGATCTGCTGAAATGCAATAGCCCTAAACACGAAAGGAAATGAGATGCTTGAACAGCGAACACAGCCAGGAAACGCCATTATCTTTATATACTGGATTGATGCTTTATGTACAAACACGTGAAAGGGAAGTTGTAGACAAACTTTTTGATGTAGAAATGTCAATCTTTTATGATCAAGTGTTGCATATATCTACCAGTCTATAGCAAAATGGTGGCAAAAGAAGTTAGCAAAAAATGTGTGGCATGTAATGAAATATCATCAAAAGAAATGATTTGATAAAGTGAAATGTGAAGCTTCTGGTTCATTCCTTTTTTTTGTGCTGGATTTATTGAACAAAGTTTTCGTAAGTTTTCAAAAGTAAATAGATCGGAATGAAAGTGTAATAAGTGTCGCTACGAAGAAAGTCAGTAGTTAAGACTTGATGGGAGTGATACGGACATAAGTAAGCCTACCTCAAGCTCATTAGTGTTACAGATAAAGATTAAAAATGATACCGCATTGATTTCAACACTATCTAAAAGTGTAACTTTTAATACTCAGAAATAGAATGAATTGTTATCTCAAGTAAGAATAGTTTTGAAAGAACTGAGTGATGAAAAAAAGTTGAAAAAGTTTGTTGGCATACAAGTTTAACGAAGTCAAACAACTGTAATAGTGAGCCTTAGTACTATACCTCTTCGTAAAAAATGCTTCAAGGTATGAAAAAAGAAGAAATTAAGAAAAAGGAAACAGGAATTGTTAATGAAGAACATAATATATATGTAAATGAACATTTATAACATTTTTTTAAACATTTAGTTTATAAGGCGAGGGACATTAAATGAGAAATAATATATAACTTAATACGGGTTAAGAGTGGTAGGTTTTACGAGAAAAGAGTAATCAATGAATGTTATACACATTATAAATTAAAATTATCTCAAAATATAATGTAATGTATTTATATTTTATTTTTGTTAATAGTTAATTTTTGTTATATTTAATAAGTTAAGTAATTTTAACCATTTAGATTTAGACTGATTTTAGTAATATGGGTGAATATATTGAAATTGATCAAACTGAAAATGAATTATGTTATGTTACTGGTTTGTCAGTATATTACATGGTATGATATTATATTATATTCTGAGAAAGAAAATGGATAAAAGTTTACAGGAATTACAATGTACGAAATCTGATTTTGCTTGTTTGGTATTTGTAGAAACTTGGCTTACAGATGATGACTAAATGTATAATAAAGGTCGTTTTACATGTTTTTCAAATAGGTGAGGTAGCTAAGGTAGAGACATTGCAGTCTACATTAAAGATGAAATGTTATTTGTGTGTCAAAATGTGTTACTTTTGAATGATGTGATTAGATTTATAGCATTAAAATTAATAGTTTTAATTTAGGCTGTCTCTATAGGCCACTTAAAGCTCATTGAAGATTATTTATGGAAAGTTTAGAAAATATATTAGGTATGTTAAATAAGGAACAAGCACTATTTGTTAGATTTGGAGATTTTAATATCGATATCTTAAACGACCTGGAGAAGCGCGTAACTGGTCTGTGAGATTTAATTTGTTATAATCAAAGTTAAATTACAAACAACTTCAATTTTCCAAAGAAATACATTAATTGATTATGCAGTTTCTAATTTTGAAATTAAAGTTTTATGGTTACTTATTACTGATCATTATCCTATTATTTTTATTTGATTAATTACTGCAGAGATACAAAACTTTCGTAGATAAATCAATGATATGAATATAAAAAAGTTATACAATAAGTTAAACATAATTAATTGGGATACTTTATATGGTATACATGATGTAAAAGAAACTTATTAATTTTTTTTCTGTAGTTATTACAGTAGCTGTTTGCCTGTAGCAAGAAAAAATCTTACATAGAAAAGTTAATAACATTGATAAAGATAAACCTTGGATTAATAACCATAAAAATTATATTAAGAATAAAAAATAAATTAGCTATTAAAGCTAAAATATCTGATAATATATATGACCGACAAAGTTATTCTGTGTTTAGAAGTAAATTATTAGCTTATATTAGAAATATCGAGAAAACTTATTACGATGGTATTTTATTTTCCCAGAATGACGCAAAAAATAAATGTAAATGCATTAGTAATTTATTATTGAATATATCAACCACAAAACAGCCTGGCGGCGTTATAATTGTTTATAATGTCAAAATAATAGATTTACTATGCGATTCAAATGATTTGATATTTTTATTAATGGAATAGAGTGATTAGTGAATCTAATTAATATCAAGAATGATAAACATAATTGTTATATAAGTTTGATGATAATCCAAAAGATGATTTGAGAAGTATATTTGTGATACCAATAACCACAAGTAAATTAACTGATAGTGAAAAAATCGTAAATACTAAAGCAGTTGGAGTGGACAATATCTCTTTAGTAGCTATAAAAATCACGGAGTCTATTGCTGTTAAATTGAAAAACTAATTAATTTCAGTATTGAAAAAGAAATATTTCTAAGTTTTTTGAAAAAGGCAAAAATAATACCCATATTTAAAAAAGCCACATTGGGCTACTTGCTGTGTCCACAGCGGAGAAATGAACTCCATATTTTAGCGTTTTAAGTCTCTAAACTTAACGTTGACCTCCCTCCTAAAAAAGGCCAGACGTTTGACAGTTTCTTTGTTTAGCCTGTTAGAAGTTAAACATTGTGTTTTAATGTCATTTAACTAGCAAAGTTTTGAACCGACACAGTAGAGGGGCCTTCGGAAGCTCAGCGGTAAGTCTGAGGGCTTATAACGCTAAAAATCGGGTTTAGATATATACGGGTGGCACAGCACAGATAGCCCATTGAGTAGTTTTGTGCTTAACAACAAAAACTTTGAAATGTCAAAGTTTGAAATTTCTCAAGTCATAAGTCCACTTCCGACAACATTTCCCTGTCAAATGGTTGGGATTTTGTTCTTAATGATATTTATAATTAGTAAAAATATTGCTCTTAGCGCCACGGCTTATATTTGCTGCAGCATGACACTGCATGAGCATACACGAATTGCTCTATAAAGTGTACAAGCTAAACGAAGAATAAGAATATTGTCGAAAATGCCATTTTTTTCCCAATAGCTCAATGATAGCAGAAACGAATAAAGTTTGGATGAAAATCATGGAATTTTTGAGAAGAAGCTTCTACGCACGATCAATAAAAATCTATTGAACAAAGAGAAATAAATTATACAGGAAAGTGCGCGGCTATGTAGAACAACAAACATACAGAAAACACCATATGCTAGATAGAATTCCTTGTTATTTGCTTTTCAAATGATCACTACGAGCTAACTGATGTTTGAAAAATACACGTATTGAGTAGCTGATTTTAAAAAATACATAACATGTACGAAATGATTTACAGGGTTGGAAAAAATATTCTAATGAGCCATTTTAAGAATTGTTTCTATATGTTAGTGATAATAAAAATGCTAATACAGCATGACATTTGTGTTTGTGAAATTTTAATCTGGTGATTAAAATTTTATTATCATACACCAATTGTTTTTTTTTATCTTTCTCAGCAGAGACCACTGAAACCAAGCTTGTGCCAGAGGAGGGATCCCCATTTAAAGTGTCTTGTGTTAACCCTGTCCATTTTTGGTTGTCTGGGGGCAGTGACATGGTGCCGTCTGACCGAAGTTACCAGACTCGTGGTCAACTTTCAGAGTTTTCCCATCACCACAAGAAGAAATGTGAGTCCGTGCGATGAAGGCTACATATATATTCCAGTGGCATTTCTGGCTATGTTGTACTTAGTGTATTTAGTAGAGTGTTGGCACTGCTCCACCAGGCTTGAGCTTACCTATAAAGTCGATGTTAATGACGTCTACGAACAAATTCAACAAATGCGAGAAGCACAGCCTGTGATTTGGTGGAAAGCTGTTTGCTACCATTATGTGCGACGAACAAGACAAGTGACTCGCTACCGAAACGGAGACGCCTACACCACAACACAGATCTATTACGAGAGGATCAACACCCACGTTGCAGGTTCTTGTTTTTCCTATACACACTGCGGAGTCAAAGATATTTCAAATATTCTTGTGGACCTTGAAAAATATCCTGCTACTAAAATTAGATTCAGTAAAGGCTTTGCCTTTGCTAACCTTGAAGCGGCCAGCGAATTTGAAGATCAAAGGACACGTTTTTTCCAAACAAACGAGAGATATGACGACTATTTGGAAATGCGAGAGGGATTAGATTTAATTGGTGTAAATTTCCAGGAATACATGATCGCTTTTGCAGACCCAGAGCATCTTCCGTGGTACGTTTCTAACTTCGTATTTTGGACTTGCTCTTTGTTGCTGCTTTCTTGGCCTCTACGAATACTAATCGAATGTCAAACAGCTTACGTCCATTACCAAGTTACGAAACTCTTTGGTGTAAACTATCTGACTCCAGCAAGTGCTGACACTGTAGTCTCTAATCGGTTGTCGCGAGGAAGCACTCTGGACAGCAGTGAACTTGAAGGGATTATTACTAATAACTTTACTGTTGCCCCTAGTTACTCAGAAGCCTTACTATTAGAAGGTACGACTGGCGGGCTTTCTCTCCCAACAGATTCGAACGGAAACATTCCAAATGAAGTGTTTCCTGTGAGGTTTAGTATGGACACGGACTCTAGACTTTCGCTGCTAGGGACTAACAGGTCCAGAGGGTCTAGAGAATTTTCCAGAACATTCCTTCGTACTTCCAATAATCGGAGTTCCTGGACAGCTGGGACTGGACGTTCGCCTCCATCTAGACCAGCACTACATACTTCAATAAGCCGTACTTCCCTCCAAAATGGCCAAACTGTTTTTCAAACAACCCCTTTGTCCCCAAACGATGGATCGGTATGGAGGAGAAATAGTCATCCAAATCAGAACACCACGAGGGCTAGTCCCCCTCCATACGAAGAAGCCTTACTTCTGAGTAGGCCCGTGTTCCTGCCTTTACGACGATCGAATACTGAAAGGGATCTGTACGGAGATTTTGTTTCAGAACAAAGGATTTCTTCAAGAGTCGATAATAACATCGCTTTGAGCATGGAAACTGCGGTATGACATCAAATAGGTTTTTTCACCATTTGACTGTTAGTGCCAAAAAGCTTCAGGAAATATAACACGTCCCTTACATTTCTTGCCAAATATAACAATAACGCTCAATGCAAATTATCGCAATATTATTTTCTATACCAGTCTTTCTCTTGTTTTGTGATCGCTTATGATTGAAAATTTGCACTTTCACAACTTAAAGTATTATATAATTTAGTGTACTGATATGTAAATAACTGTTTTGAAACAAAAACATTCATATTTTTTACTTAACTCTTTTTCTGTATAGTTTGAAGTACGTAAACTGCACTGAAGTTTTATATTTTTGCTTTAACATCCATATTCTTGGAAGATATATTGAATGTTTAGGTTTACTATCTTGTTTGTCTTTGTAAAATATACCAGAGTAACTCTAACTACTAAATGTCTTTAAAGAATGGAACATCTTTCTTGATATATATCTAGTAATATTTGTACAACTATTTAGAGCATTGAAAGAAGTGGAAGTTCGTGTCAGTGCACGAAATGAATATTTCTAAGAGTATTTCCACATATTAGCAGTTCTCCTGAATTAATCAAATTACTTGAAACGGTGAGTACGTTATATGCTAATGCAACTTCAAGTTATACAGTATAGATGAGGCAAGAATAAAAGTTACATCTTGAGAGCTACAGTTAAATATAATAATGCTTGACATAGTTTACATCAGCTAATTTTAGAATAAGCTTCGCGACCGAGGTTTGCGTTATACGTTTAAAAACTAGTTTAATCTAAACATGCAAAATCTATCACATTTAAATTTTAAAATTCACAACATATTTTTCTCACGTACTGGAGATATTTATTTAAACGTGCTTAAAAACTTTTACATATTTATTTAAAAACAAGCAAACTATAAATGTTAACTACGATGTTGGCATGACGATCCTATTATTCTTTGTATATATGATATTTAGAACAATTATTTATTTCATGAAAAAATCAAAGTCGGAAAATTTAATTTCCTAGACCACGTGGCTTCAGACAATAAAATCTCGATACAGCATTTCAGGTATTGCACGTAGTTTTGCAACGATAAAGTATAAGATAAAATACGTGAAGAGACTTTAAAACATTACAAAGTTGTGGTAATGAGAAAAAAGATTTAATGGTTTTACTTTTTTGAACTGGTTCGGCAGTTAGACTTCAAGTGAATCGTGATTCTGACTGAAAACATTTGATTTTAAACACAATTAAAATTTTTTAGACATAAAATAGGCCCCTAGTGGTAAGCACAGCTCGGATAGCCTATAGTGTATCTTTGCATTTAACAATAAACAAACAAAAAATATGAAATAGTAGAATGTAACTTATCACCATTTCTTTTGAAAAAAACAACAACAAAAAAACCTAGGCATTTACTGAATTCATATAGGTATCATTTTGAGATTAGACATAGTATGTCAGTTATATTTAATCATAACACTGCGCTGGTTGAATAAATTATTGGACATCACAAGCTAAAAAAAACTTTTATTGGATGGATAAATTTAATGGCTTGATAATCGACGGTGAAAAAATATTTTGAGAACATTGACTAATACTTCATTTACTCTTTAAAAAATGTTTACATTTTTACATACAATTCTTAAGCTAATGAGAAGTACTGGAAGAATTCAATTGTTATAGTGTTAATGTATTATCCTGACAAATCACGATCTGTTGAACAGTTGTCTGGCGACATAATAATACTTATAATAATATTTATTAAGTATTTCTTTATTGGCCCTCTTCCTACTGGAAATAGGGCCAGTAACTAAAGATTTGTTAAAATTATTATATGTTATCTACTTGAACATTTATTATTTGTAAGTCTATATACAAGATGTATGTATACATATATGTCATCAGATTTATACATTCAAAAATCATTAAGAGTCAGAGAAGATTAAATCAAGTTATGATTGGATATAAGGCTAGTTTAAATTTCAGATTTCAGTCTATTTGTATTCTCAGGATAGCAGCAGAATTAACCTTTTTGACGTCAAATGTGTTTAAAACGAGCCTGAAACCTGTGACACAACGATTCATTGCAGTGTAACATTGCAGCTAAATTTTCCCAAGAAAATCTTGCGTGTTTTCGGACAGTGGATCTACACCTGTGATAAATGTACGGCAAGTCTCCACCGGAATGGGTTGTAGGTATTACTGCAGCAGTGGCCAGGATCTTTGTTTATTATTCTAGTGACTTAATCGGAGATGACAATGCTTGTTTGGACTTTCTTCTGAATCAGTTATGACATTGTTATTCATAGCATATATGTAAAATTTGGCACGTTGTTTGAATTTTTTTTTTATCAAAGCTTTCCACATGGGAAGCTATCTTATGGCCGGATAAATTCGTGAATACGGTACAATGAATTAATTTATACAGTTAGAGAAATTATTATTATTGCTATTCAGGAAAATTCGGAAATGTATTCATGATATTCTCAAAATATTTAATGATACCACGTCCTTATCAGTTAGAGCACTTTGCTGTATTTATTTAAAATAGAATATTATCTTCAATCTGCTATGAGGGATAAATGTAAGTTTCGATTTATAAAAATGGTTTTTAACATCTGTACAGGTTTGAGTGTTGTTTGTATTCGTGATTGGCCAAAATATATAAACTTTCGTACACCAACACTTTCATAATGAATGCTGCAAACAGTATTAATTCCAAAATGGTATATTTACGAACCTTTACTGAAAGTGACGATTTTTTGGACGAAAGAAGTTTCGAAATATTCAACAACTATTGCATTATTGACGTAAGATATTAAAATATTGCATAATTTCAATGTTTAATCTTACTAAACTGTGACTGTAGTTCTAGAATTAAGCCATGTATAAATAAAGTAACAATGTGTACCACTACCAATTATATATGGTTTCGTATATTCCTATCGAATAGGTTTACTAGATGTACACTTCTATCTCATTTTAGATCTCATTCAATATCGGTACGATTTAGTTCAAACATCATACCGTGAATTATTTATAACAATGTGTAGAAATTCTAGGAACTTAAAAGTGGAAGTAAAGAAAAATACACAGCAATATGTCAACCAAGATAAGGCCTACAATCGTATCAGAAAAATAAAATAGGGCACATCCTGTATTCAGTGATAGAACTAGAGTTTCCAAGAACAGACATCTTCTACGATTATGTTATTCCTAAGATTTTGGATTATTTTCACACTTAATTAAGATTAAACACTGAAATATTCAAAGCTTGTGTTACACCACCAGTCGTCACAATAATGTTTACTTAAAAACAAAAACGAAGAGTCATCATATGTTAAGAATTTTTAGCTTGCCAGCGAATGATTAATACTAGTTTCGATCAGCGAATATTTTATTAGTAATTAATATATTAGCAAGGAAACTGTTATAGATTCCTCATAGAGAACACCGAATGATAAACTACAAAATCATATCTAGCCATCTGATGGCTCTTAATCCTAAACGAATCATTTAGAATGATGACGATATTTATGATTATCTATTTATCAAAAGGTATTTTATATTTGTTCTCAGCGGCCCTGTTTTATGTAAGTGGTTTAGTTGAAACTATGAAATTTTGAGTTTAAAAATGCACAGTTTATATTTCAATTATCTTGAAATGTTTTGTATTTTAAATATATATGGATACTTTTATAGAAAGAACAAAACTAAAGTTAGTTGGGCCTAAAATACACGTGGTTATTTTGTTCGAGAAATTGCGACTGAAGACCAAAATATCCCATATGGTCAGTATTTTTGGATTTGTAAAAGTTTCATGAATAGCATTAAAACTCTTTCTTTCAATTCAACATTTTTGAAATATTTGTTTCGATATAATGACGTCACAACTGCACAAAAATCACCTCAATAGTATCGTGTATCAACTTCGAAATATATGATACAAAAGAATCTGAAACTGAATAAGTAACGAAGGTCGGAGACAAACTCGATCAATAAGAAATCACAAAATATTTCCATGCGTTAGAACACTTGACGGTCGAAGTGGAATAAAGGAACGAAAGTACTTAATTACAAAAAAAGAAAAACTGCACATGAACACACACAAAACCTGGATCGTGATGAAAATTCAATATTATAGAGAAACACGACACCAGGTTTACAAAATAGTTTAGGAACTTCTAACCAGGTTGGTTTTGTATTTCACATACCTATTTGTAAGTATTTCCTAACTTACATTACTTTTTCATTTTATTTTTATTTTATGCTTACTTGTTCACCAGAACCACGTATTATGCACACAGTGGGCTAAATGACCAGGTCATAGACATCCTCTCTATGGTTCAGATATTGTCGTCCCTCTTTTGAATTGCAGAGCAAAGGAAAAGCATCTGCTCGGCAGCACTCGCCGCCTGAAACAGTTACTCTTAATCGAATAATGGAAATGATTGCCTCACATATAACGCATCAACATCTCAAAGTACGAAGTATGTTTAATAGTACCACGTCTCGAACCCGAGACACTCGATTCCCTCAGTCCGATACGTTAATTACTAGGCCACGATCGGGCCTTTTGTTTTTTCGTTTAGTGGCTTATCCGGTTGTAGCAACCTATCATAGAATCCGTAGACTCCATATGTAAGGATGACCAAGGTACACAATAGGCATAATACAAATATGCACGCTAACACACCAATAATGACAGAGAGTTATACTTTAAAATATGATTGCCACTCATTTTCACCTGTTTCTCTACCCAACAAGTACAATAATAAGGCAAGAAATCATTGATAAGATACCAAACCAGAAAATGATCAAACCAACAAATTGTTCATCTTTCTTCTTGTTGTTTCAGTCGATATAACTCTACAACTACCTTATTATTAACGTCAGTTTAAACCTAAATCCACTCTATGTGGGCAGTCATCGCTTAGTCGTAATAATTAGTAGTAATTGTAAAATGTATCACAATTCTAGTGTAAACAAAGTTATTACTCTCCCTTGAAGTTAGCTATTTTACAAAAATCTGATGTTCCTTTAAAAAGCTTAAGTACGGGGTGAAATACGAATTACCAGTCAATAATAGATGAACATTAGATGACTGTAACATGTAGAATACTCAGTTCTTTGTACACTATACAATCGATGTATTTAGAGAACTAACCGCTATATTATCTATGAAGTGCAGGAGTAAAAAACCAATACACATAATATTGAATTTTATTATACACATTCGTAGAATACACTAACTTTCAGTCAGGGAAAATAAACGTCATAAAACAAGTATTAAAAAACATTTTGTAAATGTAAAATGATGTAGGGACGGTAGTACCAAATATAATGCCAACAAGAATATAGGGGTCATACAGGTGTATATAAACCATCCCCACACGACTTTCAATATTAAAATTTAATGTTACACTGTAAAATGCATACTTGACTTTAATATTACTCCAGTTGAAAGTTATATATTCCTGACTGTTGGTATGCAGTTTATTTATCATAATATCATGGTCATGTCAAGGTAAGTATCAATATAGTGTAACTAAGAACCAAGGACTTACGTACAAGGAAAACCAAGTTGAGTCGAAACATGTCTTGATTATTACAGACTCTCGCTACGAGGTCGATCGAGTTGGCCGACCTTGTAACCATTTAATATTGAAAGTCATGTAGGGTTGATCTATGTATAGCTGTATCGCCCTATATTATTTTTTGCATTCTTCTTTAGCACTGCTACTCCTACGTCATTTTACAATTACAATTTGTTTTTTTATTATTTGTTTACTCTGAAATGTCTGTGTTGTCATACAGTCTAGCTTTCAACTGGTCGTAAAAACTAAATTTCCCTTTGAAAAATTCTTAGCTTAAGGATGGCTATTAATCAGAATTGTTATCAGATCTTTAACACTCCACAGATGTTTCACACAGTTAGTTACATATTACAGGTACTAAGCCTTGTACTTTTTTTTTTGCTATGAAATTGCTCAGCGGTAAGTCTGTAGGCTTATAACGCTAAAATTGGGTATCAATACAATAGTTGGCACAGTACAGACAGCTTTGTGTGTATGTTTGTTGTTAAGCACAAAGCTACACAAGAAACAAACAAAGCCAAGAAATCATGAAAAAATAGTTTTGCATTCTATGAATGAAACCTTGTAACTCTTTAGCTGAAAAACGCGCAAACTAAAGTAGACGTACCAAACTACAGTTTTTGAAAGCAGCTACAGTCGTTTCAGAATAGTGTATCCCATTAAGTGCAATTCTGTAGGAGCTACAAGGATTTTCCATATAGTGTTACCATATATATACGACATGTTGAAGTATACTTTGTGTGTATTAGGTCGTCAAGAAATTAATGTCGCTTTTTTAGATAAAAAACCCAACAACTTATATATCAAAACAAAACATTTAATGAATGAAATACTCTCCGTTCTTATCGATGATGCTTTTCCATCTTACATTCAGGGTGTTAATGCCCTGTTTAAAGAAATCACTTGGCTTTGAAGCATAAAACATGTCAATGTCCTCTTTAACAACTTCCACATTTGCATACGATTTCCCATTA